ATCGCTGCTAAAGGAATTTTCCGACGTTTTCAGTCGGAATAAATACGATTTGGGTTGTACTCACCTGCTGCGTCACCATATTGACACGGGTGACAGCGCGCCTATTCGCCAAAATCCTTTTCGGTTGAGTCCCGCCGAAAAGGACCATGTCAAATCGGCTGTCGATGACATGTTAGCCGCCGACATTATCTCTCCCTCTACCAGCCCTTGGGGAGCACCGATTGTCCTGGTTAAGAAACAGGATGGCTCGTTGCGGTTTTGCGTAGATTTCCGTCGCCTTAATAAGGTTTCGGTTGCCGACGCATACCCGCTCCCACGGATGGACGAATCGCTGGACGCCTTGGCGGGAGCGCGATTCTTCTCCACACTAGATTTACTTTCGGGATTCTGGCAGCTTCCTCTGGACGATGATTCGAAGCCTAAAACCGCTTTCCGTACACCGCACGGCCTGTTCCAATTCAACCGGTTGCCGATGGGCTTACACTCAGCGCCGGCAACCTTCCAGCGGTTGATGGAATTGGTTTTGGCTGGATTGCAATGGGAATCGTGCCTGATTTATTTGGATGACGTAATTGTTTTTGGAAGAACCTTTGACGAACATCTCCAGAGGCTGCGGGCGGTTTTCCAAAGGATGCGGGCTGCTAATTTGAAATTTAAGCCCCAAAAATGCTATTTGTTTCGCGAGTCAGTGCGTTATTTGGGGCACATCGTGGGGCGCTCGGGTATTGCTACCGATCCCGCCAAAACGCAGTGTGTCAGCTCCTGGCCAATTCCGACCTCGGTGGGGGAGGTGAGGAGTTTTATTGGCTTCGCTTCATATTACCGACGGTTCGTCGCTAATTTTGCTACAATTGCCAAACCCCTACATGCTTTGACATCAAAAGGGGTTCGGTTCCACTGGGGTCGGGATGAGGAAGTAGCTTTCTGCTCCCTTCGGGATGCATTGGTGAAGGCTCCTCCTTTGACTTACCCCGATTTTTCGAGGCCGTTTTTGCTCGACACCGACGCGAGCAACACAGGTATCGGAGGCGTGCTTTCCCAGGTGGTTGATGGCGTGGAACGGGTGGTTGCGTACGGCAGTCGGGTGTTGTCTCCAGCGGAGCAAAAATATTGTGTCACCCGTAGAGAACTGTTGGCAATTGTTTTCTTCATCCAACAGTACCGCCCATATCTGTACGGTCAGCATTTCACTGTCCGTACGGATCATGCGGCACTGCAGTACGCCCTGAAGGTTCAACAGCCATCGGGACAATTGTCCCGATGGCTGGAGGTCCTCCAGGATTTCGATTTTGACACCACCTATCGTAAGGGCATTCGCCACACAAATGCGGACGCTCTGTCGCGCATGCCAACCACCTCCGAATGCGCATGCCTCCTGGGGTCGGGGCGTTGCAAGCCAGCTGGGGACATGACGGTTCCAGTCCTGGCGGCCGCCGCCGATGTTGACACATCGCTCCCCGATGAGATCGGGAAACAGGGAAGGGATTCCCTGCTTGGGTTGCCTGTGATTGAGTGGGGACGCCTCCAGATGGAGGACGCCTCCCTCCTCGCGCTGCGTCGTCGCGCCAGGGAGAGGGGGTGTGGGACGGGTGATGCCGACAATTGGGAAATACACGCGGGCTTGCTCATGCATTGGGACGGTAAATCCCACCGTCACCGGCTGGTAGTTCCTGCGGGGTTACGGGGTAAGGTGGTGTGGGCTGCTCATGAGCGCCTCCTCCACCTGGGTACCCAAAAGACCCTCGCCTCGCTCCAGCTGGATTTTTTTTGGCCGGGCATGACACGGGATGTCACGGATCTCCTGGCAGCATGCCCCCGGTGTGCGCAACGCAAACCACCAGCTCGGGAGTCGAACCCGCCGTTGCAGTCCATCACAGTCTCCAGGGTGAACGAACTCGTAGCGTTGGATATCCTGGGGCCGTTTCCCGCCACCCCTAGGGGCAATAGATATTTGCTAACAGGGGTCGAATACTTCACACGCTGGCCTATGGCCTGGCCCCTGGCAAATCAGTCGGCAGCAGCCATCGTGGACGCCTTTGTCCAAGGCTACGTCATGGACAAAGGTGCTCCGGAGCGGCTGCTGACCGACCAGGGTAAAAATTTTTCCGGGAACCTCCTCAAACAAGTCTGTGATCTCCTAGGTACAAAGAAGATTCGTACCTCTCCCTATCACCCACAAACTGACGGGATGGTCGAGCGTCTGCATCGTACCATCACGTCTATGTTGTCGCACCTGGTTTCGGAGTCACAGACCAATTGGGACTTGCAAATTCAAGGGGTCCTGGCAGCATATCGATTGGCCCCCCATGCTGCCACGGGATTTTCACCCTTCTTTCTCATGTATGGTCGCGAACATGACCCACCTGTTCGGGCACAGCTGCAGATCCCCGCGCCTCTAGGTAAAATTAAATTGGACGAGCACGTTAAATTTAACCTTCAAAAGCTAACTGAGGCGCGGGATGCTGCCATGCTCAATTCCCGCATGCGCCAAAAGGCGAATGAGCGCCTCAGACTTGCGCGCGCGCACGTGCTGCAGTGGAAGCCAGGGGACAGGGCATGGCTGCACTGTCCCCAGGTACCGCTTGCGACCTCCTCGAAACTGGTACGGCCATGGCGGGGCCCCGTCGAGGTGGTCGAGGTTTTGCGACCGCAGTGCGTTCGTATCAAGTGGGGGAGGCGCCGGTGGTTCGTTCACCCCTCTAGACTAAAACCCTTCGTTGCGGTGCGGGACTCTGCTCCACACGCGCAGGGCCAAGCATGTGAGGGGTCGACCGACCCGGAGGGTCCGCCTCTGTTGATCTCACCTGACGTCTTGCCGGTTGCCCCGCCCCCAGGTTCTCCCGGAATGACGGGCTCGCGCACATCCCTCACGGGGGATGCCGAGGGTCCCGCCACTCCAATTGCGGACTCGCCTCGGATGGGACAGCGGCCACCGAATGGTCCGCCATCTGAGGTTGGCCCTTGTGACGGGCCTGCGGCAAGGACGCGCGCTAAAATGCGCAGACTCTTATAAAAACACTGGAACGCGAACAAGAAGTGAAAACGAAACGAAAATAAGAAGAAAATTTTTTTTATTTTTTTTGCGTTTTCTGGTACACTTTCGTGTGCTATTGTTGCTGGACGCTGCGTTCGTGTGGCGCTCTTGGCGCGTTGTTGTATTATGGCTGTGTGTGTGTGTGCGTCTTGTGTGCGTGTTGTGCGTGCGCTGAGGGTTCCGGGAAATGTACATATCTTGCCTCTACGGATTTCGTATTTATTCGGGGGGGGGGGCGCGTCGGTTTGTTCTCCCTTTAGGGGCATTGTTAGTGTTGTTGGTTAATTCTCGTTCTGTTAAATGGAAAAAAAATGGGGCACACACGGGGGGAGTCAAGGGGTAAAGATTCATTTGTTGAAATTGTTGCAGCCGGGACGGCTGCGAGCTATGCGGGGGGGAGTGATGTAGGGACGTTGGAGAGAGGGCCGTTATGCATGGCAGCCTATGGGAAAGAAACACAGTGGGCGGGGCTACGTGTGTGCACAGGGAGATGCCCTCTGCGACGTCCGAGCCAGACACCCTGGGGGGGGGCTGGTTCGGCGTTACGATCCCCCGGGGCCCCACCCCTCAAGGAGGGTTGGGTATAAAAAGGGGTCGTTATATGGGCTTAGTCAGTTATGTTATAGTTAAGCTAAGAAGTCGGAAGACGTCGTAGCTAGAGCCCTGGACTCCCCCTGATCGCCGCCCTTATCAGGGCCCCACGGGATCAGGCTCGAGCCAGTGGCGTGGTCCCGTGAACCAGAGCCAGTGCTCTGGGACTCCGGGTACCGAGCCCGATTACCAGTGTCGGGCCAGACAGCCTCCCCTAGCTCTTAGTGGAGGACTCAGGGGATAGGCTATGGATAGCTAGGGGTATTCCCTGAGTTATACGGGTGAGGGGGCCGCTACCCCCTCTAGGGCTGTCCTGTACTGGCAACTTGTTAAATAAATATACGTGTGCCTCAACTCCGTTGTCAAGCGTCCTCGACGGGTACTTCAGTAGTAATAACTGCAAGCATCGAGGTGAGGGAGACATCACACAGTGAAGATTTTTATAGCATTTCTAACGCGAAAGAAAATGTTCCCCCCCCCCACCAAAGGCGCGTGAGTTGCTATGGTCATGCGCGCGTGATAAATAAATAAATGATCTACTGCCTATAGTGCTAGCATCTAGCGACTGTGTATATTAGTAACTGCACGCATCGTGGTGGGGTGGGACATGACACAGTGAATAATTTACGTCAGCGTATAGTGTATTTTATAGCATTTTTAACGCGAAAGAAAATGTTCCCCCCCCCCCCCACCAAAGGCGCGTGAGTTGGTATGGTCGTGCAAGCGCCATAAATAAATAATTGTAAAGCGCACAAAAATCACACTAAATCGCTAATTAAACTAATTAAAATTTGAGGGATGTGAAAAAGGAATAGCACTTGCTGATCGCGGGGCTTACGGCATGGTAACTGGCTATTTTCTTTTTACGCGAACCCCACCGTTGGAGAGCCAAGCGAGCGACCACACACAAACCCACAATTTTTTACTTTTATATAAATGGAAGAAGTAATTCTCCACGAGCCGAAATGGCGACCAAAATAATGATTCAGTCTAGTGGAGGCACGCATGTTGAGCGTTAGTGCAGACCTTTTGCTTTGGACTTCACCTTGTTTATGCACTCTGTGCAAGCCAACCTTCTCAGAAATGTTGTCCACACCTACATCAAGAAGTAATAGAAAGGGACTGAAGTATAAATCCCTTAGTCTGCTAAACAAATCCAAAGTTTCGGATAGAATTGATGCAGATGTGTCAATGCGTATGGTGTGTGAAAGGTTTGGAGAATAAAAAAGAATATATATTGGAGGCACTGGGGAGTACCATTGTACATAATTTAGAATATTGGATAATTCGGCAAGGCCAGAGCCCCATATGTCGAATTAACAATGGTTTACTGTAAATCCCTTGGCTTGGCGGTAGACCTCGCATGCGCGCTCACCGATCTCGTGCTGCAGCATCCCCTCGAGCCAGTGCTCACGCGCCGCTGCCGTGTTGATGCATAGCGTGGGGCGGCCGTTTTGCACTGTCATGGAGGCACGCGACAGCAGGTCGTCGTGCAGGCTCACCACCACCTACAGCAGCCAGAACCACACAGTGGGTCAGAGCTTCAACCACACCACCACCTACAACAGCCAGCGCCATGCAGTGGGTGAGAGCAACAACTACGCCACCACCTGCACCACTCAACAACACGCGGTGGATGAGAGCCACAAACAAACTCATTACCTTTCGATTTAAAGCTTTCGTAACTACAGGGATTCATCTTCTTGGTTCTTTCGGTAAGGTCACGTAGAATGGAAATAATAAAATAATAAAAATAAAACATAATAAAATAATTCTCACGACGTTTCGGCCACAACGCCAAGTAGCCGTCCTCAGGTGGAGAACAGGTCTGTCGAGGAGACAAAGTCTGAATGACAAGCCCCAGGCTTGGAGCGACTATTTAAGCTGGGATGGAGGGGCGAAGAGCGCCTTGACAAAATAATTTGCATATCAAGATGAATTTAGCATATTTATGGGAAATGCAGATATGCGATTAGTACTACTTGTGAAATGCGTAGGAGGTTTGGCGAGGGGTTTAAAGTCATTATGCCCGTGCATTATGCAGGATTAGCAGCATCAAAGGGAGGGGATAGGGGTGGCATTAATAAAGGGAAGGAGTGTTAATAGTATGTAGCTGCAGTAACTAAACCACCACGTAAACAACTAAAGTATAAACTACATAGTATCATCAGTATACTAAATATACTCTTCAATAAGCTGCAGGGAATGGATTCTTTGCTCCGCTGCAAGTCTCCCTCACTACTCCTCCCATTGATATATTTCGTTGCTTCCTCTTAGTATCTTTTACATGACGGTCAATGGTACAGTGTATAGCGGATTGTATAATAATAAATAGTATAAAATTGTAATGCTTAATACAATGTACAAAGAAACATATAGTATCGTAATTGTATAGTGAATATACAGCAGTGTGATATACATTAGGGTGGGTAGAATAATACAAAGTGGTGTATAGCAATACAGTATATAATTTAATGTTGGGTTTGTCTATGGCAGTATATAGTACGGTGTAGACTCGTGTGATGTAAGAGAATAAAGTTTAGATGGTAGCATATTATATTTTTTGCGACATAGAATTGTAATGTATTACTTACTGTTAGTAACTCAGCGGGGCCCCACACCGGACCGAAGACCGAACAATCATGAGTGCGTGTGCCTGAAGGTAAAACCGGCTGCTAGACAACTCAACCTTAGGGCAGCACGGCCCCTCAAGCAGAACAGCAACAACCACAACAACAAAAAAACAAAAGAAATAGAGCCCGAAGGCCTCATCCGCCGGATAGCGCCGAACGGGCGCCAGGGGCTGGGCCTGCTGAACGGCCATCAGGGCCGTCACCGGAGCCGCAACCCCCTCGAGCGGGTATACGCTGCTGGCCCGCTCCCCCGTGTGGCATCCGCTACCCGTGCAGGTGGCCCGTCAGCGGGCAATAGGCCCACCGCCGTGGCCTCCGGTGACTGGGGGGTCTCTGTCGGCCTCACTCGGGAGGGGCCTGGGGGCACACACACAGGCCGGACGTCACCTCCGTCAACGAGACCCGGCCGGTCAGGCACGCCGGATACATCATCAGCCGGCCGCTCCGGAATTGGGGGTGGATCCCCCAGGGTAGATGGAACATAACGTTTGAGCCGGGACGGGTGCACTATTCACTGCTGGCGACCGAACCGAATCCGGACGCATTGCGGCCGGCGGACCTCCTCAACCTTCACGGGGCCCTGCCAAGGGCGATGCAATTTGGCCGATGTGCTAACGAGGACCTGGGGACCCACTACCCACGGGAGGCCAGCTGCCTGGTGTTTGGGCAGCCGTTCATTAGCCACCTGCCGGCTGGCGGAATTCTCGGCAGCAGCCTGTCGCGCCTTGCGCAGCCGGTCAAGCGCGACCTTCAAAGGTGCGGGCACCGCCGACTCCTTCCTGGAGGAGCCAACGTCCATTTGGACGTGCACCGGGGGCTCCGGTTCCCTACCGTACATCAAATAAAAAGGCGAAAATCCCGTGGAGGCATGAGAGGCCAACCGATACGCCGCCAAGACCCCCGGGACAAACAGGTCCCAGTCTGACTGGGACGTGTTCACCTGGTGGCACAGCATGGACATAAGGGTGCGGTTCAAGTGCTCTACCATCCCGTCTGACTGGGGGTGGTAGGGCGAAGTGCGGATTTTCTTGGTGCCAAGGAGGTCACACACCTCCTTGAGCAACCTAGACGAGAAATTCCGCCCCTGGTCAGTCAACAATTGTTCCGGCGCGCCCTTGTCAAACACGTACCCCTGGACGAAGGCCTCGGTGATAGAAGAGGCCGACTGATTGACCAAAGGCCATGCCATGGGCCAACGTGTGAGGTACTCAACGCCCACCAAGAGGTATTTGTGGCCCCGTTGGGATGCAGGGAATGGCCCCAAAATGTCGAGCGCCACAAGCTCATTAACGCGAGAAACCCGGATGGACTGCAGCGGGGCCCGGTCCCGGACAACTGGGCCCTTCCTCCGCACGCAGTCGTGGCAACCCTTCAAAATCAGTGCCACGTTACCCTCAACACCCGGCCAGTATTAGTCCCGCTTAAGGGTCAATAAGGTCTTGTGGTAGCCAAGGTGCATAAGCTTCTCGTGAATGGCTCGGGTTAATTTACCACACAGGCTAGTGGGCACAACCACACAAAAGCGTTCCAATTGGGCATCCCAACGCATGAAGAGTCCGTCATGCACGGCGATCGCCGGGGCAGCCGACGAAGTTGAGCTCCGGGCCTTACGCCCGACGCGGCGCCGTAGCTTCAGCAGAGAGGAATCCTCCATCTGCAAGCTGGACCATACCTCCCGGGGGAGTCCAAGGCCGAAATCCGCGGGCCCCGCCGCACCTGTAGGGGTGGCCGCCTCGGCCGACGCGACCAACTGGGCCGCAACGTCCCCTGGAGCCTTGCAACGGCTAGAGCCCAGGGCGCAAGCACACCCGCCGCCTGCAATCGGGATAAACCGTCCGCATTTCCATGCTGTGTCCCCTTCCTGTGGATTACATCAAAGGGGTAATCCTGGAGCACTTCGAGCCAGCGAGACAGCGGACCCGAGGGCTGACTAATCCTCAGCGAATATTGCAGGGCCGCGTGGTCAGTTCAGACCGTAAACAGCCTACCGTACAAATAGGGTCTATACAACTGAACAAAATAAACTATGGCCAAAAGCTCCCTCCGGGTCACACAATATCGCTGTTCCGTCGGGAACAGAACGCGACTGCCATAGGCTACCACCCTCTCAACCCCGTCGACCACCTGGGCCAGGACAGCCCCAATTCCCGTGTCGCTGGCATCCGTATCGAGCAGGAAGGGTTTCGAAAAATCCGGGTACCCCAAGGGCGGCGCATCCGCCAAGGCCGTGCGAAGCGCCGCAAAAGCCGCCTCCTCCTCCGCGCCCCAGTGAAACCTTTGGCCTTTGGCGGAAAGGGCGTGCAGTGGCTTCGCAATTGTCGCAAAATCTCCGCAACAGATGTGGGAGTCTGCCACGTCCGGACACAAGCCGCTTTATCCGGGTCCGTGGCGATACCTGACGCGCTAACAATGTGTCCCAAATACTTCACCGATGGTTGTAGCAAGTGGCATTTCTGGGGTTGAATTTCAAGCCAGCAGCACGCACTTTGACGAACACCGCCTCGAGGCGATGCAAGTGCTAGCCAAACGTACGGCCAAAAACAATAACGTCATCCAAGTAGATTAGACAAGACTCCCACTGCAGCCCTGCCAAGACCATCTCCATGAGACGCTGGAAGGTGGCCGGGGCCGAATGGAGACCCATAGGAAGCCGATTGAACTCGAACAACCCCTGGGGCGTGCGGAACGCTGTCTTGGGTCTAGAGGCCTCATCCAGTGGCAATTGCCAGAAGCCGGAGAGCAAATTTAAAGTCGAAAAGAACCGCACACCCGAGAGGGCGTCCAGGGAATCATCCATGCGAGGCAATGGATATGCATCAGCCACCGAGATCTTGTTCAATCTACGGAAATCGACGCAGAACCGGTGACTCCCGTCCCGTTTCTTGACTAGCACAATGGGGGCACCCCAAGGGCTAGTAGATGGGGAGATGATGTCCGCCGCCAACATTTCGTCGACAGCCGAGCGGACATGATCTTTTTCCGCTGGGCTAAAGTGGTGGGAATTAAGTCGAATAGGGGCCGCGTCGCCCGTGTCTATGTGGTGGTCCAAAAGAGTAGTGCGACCCAGATCAAACTTACTTTGGCTGAACACATCGGTGAACCGCTCGATGAGGTCGCGGAGTTGCCGACGTTCCCCGGAGGACAACGAGGCATTCTCGTCGCACAATGTGGCGATCCATGATGCGTCGAGGTCCCCCGTGCGCATCACGCCCGCCACGACCCCTCCATCCGGGGCAGCGCTCTCGGGTGGAGGAGCCGGGGTCGCTTGCGCCAGGACGGCGCCGGCCGGGACTACGACCGGCACGGGTCCCGAATTGAGGACCTGCAAAAAAAGGTCCTGGCCCCCCGACACGGCTGTCAAGGCGCCAACCAACCCCTTCATCCTTGAAAAGTAGCTTGACGGGGACAGGATACCCGTCTCCGTGGAGCCCATTTCGAGCGGTTTGCGCAACCTAAGAGGTAGCAGGATTTGTGACGCCGGCGGTACGGTCACCGGCGCTTTATTCAAGGCCCGTACACCGGCGACCAAGGGAGACAGGATGGTAGGCGATTGTAGGAATTGCAGCCGCCTCCCTAGCGGCATTTCCACACAGCCCTGGTCAACGAGAATTCGGATGGGCATCCTAGACAAAACGTCGGTCCCCAAGAGGCATGGCACTGCCAAGGTCCTGGAGACCAAAATAGGCCCGGCCAACTCAATCTCGTCAACCCGAACCGACGCTACGTGGCCCAAGATGCCCAAACTGCCGCCGTTCACGACGACACAAGCCCCGTGAACCGGCCTTAACGGACCCACGCTGCGGGGTAGCAGCCCGAAAATGGCTTCAGAAATAATGGTGGCCGACGCCCCCGTATCCACCAGGAGGCGAACGTTC